ATTGGCTTCCGCGAAGGTCCATCCCGCGGGATACCTTCCCACCACCTCGTCCCGCCAAAAGCCCCCGAGCCCCCGAGAATCCTCTGAATCAACTCCCAATGCCCCTCCGGCAAGCGTGACGCGCCGTACGTTGGAGGGGGAAGAATCGTCTCGCCGTAGGATTTCGCCAGTGGTGGGGGCGTCTAGTTATGAATGAGTCGGTAGGGCTGGAGGGGGGCGAGAAGGGGAGGTTGGCCAGTGGTGGGGGTAGAGTCCTAGGACCTTAAGCCCACGCTGGGAAACACCATGACACGGAATAATGGTGGGGAGGGGCGAGGATTGGCCTAAAGCGGGGTGAGCGGGCCACGTGCTCTACTCCTTTCAGTGACTTTACCCAATCGTATATAGGCAGTGGCACGCCACGGAAACGTTATTACAGTGTGACCCAACGTCTCAGACGTTCATCATCTGGTTAATTGAATCATTGGTGAGCGAAAAATTTTTCATTTGTCGAATTGGCTAGCGCCGATTGACAACTGAATATTTCTGAGGCTAAGGTAAACGGGGGAATTACCGGGGACTGACCGTTCAGTGGTTAGCTCTTGGGACAGCCGGTGATACTTCAACCACTCGTTGGAGATGTGCGAGTCAGTCACATTCTGACACTCGACGAGGCATCATCACGGTACTTCAGCCCAAGTTACGACTGAGACGTCAGTTGCGTTCATCCCTTGGCTGTCAGAGGAAGAATCAGTGCAACTTGTGTCGACTTGTGATTCCGCGACATTTTGACACTTTTGTGCAGAACGCAGCTCGACATTCGGCGGCAATTGATGCTGTTCATTAATTTTTTGGTGAATTAGATTTTTTTTGGCGTTGACCAGTGCTCGGTTGAGATCCTTGGGGAGTTGAGAGCGTGGGGTTTCGTGGAGTTTTGCCATGCTGTCATGATTGGTGAGGATACAGTGCTCGATCGACGTGGGATGGAGGAGATTATGACGAGAGACCAGAGGACAACTTATCACAGGGTTGAGAGGGCACCGGCTATTGATGACACGAGGACAATTAATTCGAAATGTGAAAAGGGGATTGCGGGTGGGAGGGTGTGTGCTAGGGGAAACAGGGAGTGTGATGAGTGCGGGGTGACTTGTTCGTGTGATTATGGGATTAAAAGACTTGGGAAGAGGTGGAGGAGAGGGACGACCTGCGGAAACACATGGCTGAGTAAGTTTTTTTTTGAAAATTCGGCGATTTTTTGACACGAAAATCAAGACGTGGTTGTTTTTTGGGGATATCTTTGGAGGGAAGGGAGGTGGCAAAATTTTTGTTTAGAGATTTTTTGGGGGAAATTTCGAGAGCTATAAAAAAGGTCATTATCAATTTTTTCATTTTTTACTGGGATCTCGAGATATTTAGGGAATACTAAATGGTAATTTGAAAAGTTGTTAATTCGAGGATTTTTCAAAACTCGTTTTTTAAAAATATTTTTAGATGGAAGGAAGATGGTGAATTTTTGTTAGAAGAATTTTTGTGGGAAATTTCAAGGGCTATAAAAAAAATTATTATCAATTTTTTGATACTTCACTCGGATTTCGAGATATTTAGAGAATACTAAATGTTGATTCAGATTTAATCGTTTCAATCATTATTTTTCATCACCAGTTTTTTGTGGATATCTCTGAATTTATGAGAGATAGGAGAAAAGTTGTTAGGACATGTTTGGTAGCCTTGAAAATTCCCTACGAAAAATGTATTAGCAAAAATTTTGTTATCGCGCTTCTATTCTAAGATATTCCGCAAAACCCATTTTCTAATTACTTTGGATTTTGAAAAAGTGGCGAAAACTTTTTGACATTTTAAAATCCTCAAAATTATTTATCATCGAATCAAGAAAAATTTGTATTTCGAGATATTTCACCAAATCGCATGTCCTCCAAAAAAATTATTAAACAGAAAAAAAACAAATGAATAAAAATGAAAAATAATGAATAAACGACAAAACAACGATTGACTATCGAGTCAGGTCCCCCCTCACCCCCTACCCCCCTTCAATTATACAAAAATCGAATTAATATTCCGTCGTAACAAAGAGCATGGCCCACTGTCTCTCATTGTCCCCGGGCCGTGTCTCAAGGGTATCGCTAATTTTTAAGGTGCTCCAGCATTTTTCTTCCTCAATTGAATGCCACCTCTTACAACAGTCGTATTACTCAGCCCATTGTCTCGCTCTGAGGCCCACTATTGCCGAAAAAAAAAGCCGATAAGCCGGGCGAATTGAAGCCGCAATGAGGAGAAAAAAATATATTATCCCATTCCATGCGTATTTCCACGCGCGCCCACGCGGCGGAAATCGATTGGCGCGCTTTTTAACGGCCGGAAAAGCCGTCGAGTCGTGCTTCGATTAACTTATCTCCCGTCGGTTCCACTCATCATCGATCTAAAGACTGTCATGAATGGAAGCCCCAAATTCGGTAGTTTTAAATTTAAATCACTAATTGATGGGGTATTATTGAACATTTTGATTTTACGAGTGAAGTCACTGTCACTCGGGATTGCAATCGTGTGAAATCCGTCGAAGACGAGGGAAAGGGACTGGGGGAAAAATAGATCATCTGAAAACGTCAATGTCTAGTGGCTGAATGGCATAATTCGGGTAAATGGGGTTTCCATAAAAAAAGAAGCTTTATTTTGAGGCTTTTGAAAGTCTCAAATGAAGATCTCAATTTAAAATTTTCAAGCTGAGACTTTCAAAATTTCAGTTGAGAAAAATTTGAGGTTGAGACTTGATCGATTGATTAAACTTTTTAACATGTCGACTGAAGATTTTCAGAAGGCTTAAATTGACATTGAAAGTCTCAAATTCAGACTTTTGAAATCGAAAAATAAGAAATTACTTTTCTGGTCATTTTGAAGCTGGAAAAAATATCTTGCCGGTCCATTTTACCCTATTCTCCTCTAGTGTCTTCAGCATTCAAATACTGACAACTTCTGTCTCAATATCAACTTTCTCATTTTTGATGATGAGAATTTATTTTTTAATAATGTTTATTTTTTCTAATGTTGGCGGCATTTTTTATCAACATTTCAATCATTGAATTTGTCAATTAAATTACGTGAGGCAAATTTGAAAAAAAAATCATCAATATTTCGCGTCATTAAAGTTACATTTTGCACTGAATTATTTTTTTTTTAAAGATTCGGTGTTTGTAAATAAATAATTGGAATTGTTCAAATTTTCGTAAAGCTTATTTAGTAGGCATTAAATTGATTTCCGGTAAAATTTTGAATATGAATAAATCTGTTACGATTCCGAACAAATGATTTTTATCGTGGAAAATTGATTATTTATAAATTATTTATAGAAATTACTTATAGTAATTTAAAAAAAAAAAATTTTTTTTCAAATACTTTGTCATTTTGTTTTTAAAATTTTTCATTTCCCTTGATGTTGGCAGTATTTTTTATTAATTTCTTCATAATTTCTCTCAACTTGGCATTTTCTTAATTTTCAAATGAAAATATCAAATTATTAAAATAGTTTATTCATTTCCGATGGCTCCAGTGGCTTGAGTTCCCACCAAGACCGTGATTAGAGGCACAAGGGGGCACAAAAACCTCCAATAAATCATTACGAAACAGCTTGTCGGTGTGTTTTATCCGTGAAATGGAGGCATCGGCGAGGGATGCGCAACGGGTAGTCTTTTAAAAAAATTCGTAAAGTCGTAAATAACGGTGTCACCTGGAGTGTACAATGATGAGCAAAGGTGTGTTTCAACCGAGAGTCCGGGGCACGTGGGTGGATGGATGCCCTCAGCCGGGGTATTCACTGGCAAGTATCATGTCACAGTGATTGCTGATTTAATATGGTTTCATTGATCCCTAACAAATAAGTTTTTCTTGCAATTGTCCCCATGTTTTTCATAGAAAATGTTTATAGTGTTCCCCGGCTATTGAAAAAAATCTAACTAGCTGTACTACACAGTTTAGGAGATAATAAATAATGAAATGCGGACTTCTAGCACGCGAGGCATAGGTCAAACAGGGGTTATGGGTACCCCCGAACTCAATTTTTCCATCTCACGAGAAAACGATCCTTACGATATTCTTAAAAAACGAATCCCTGGTAGATTAATAAATTATGAATTAAGTGAATTTTTTAAAAACTTTTTTAGGACATAATTTCGGCGACACTAAAAAATGGAAATTTCGTGAATTCATTTCTTATTTGATTCAAACAATTAATTAACAAACAGTTTATTCTTTTATTCAGACAGTAATTGTTGCCTTCATCAACAATATATGAGGAGAGAAAAACTTAATAACTTATGAGAATGCAATAAATCAAGTCATTTATAATTTTTTCCGGAAATCCGCAGGGACTAACTTTTGGCTGGTATTGTCTTCGGATATACCTTAAGGGCAAACGAAATCCTTGTGTCTATATGAACTTTTAGAATTGTCTTTTCTCGCAATTATTATTTTTCATTTATGAAGCTACTTCATTGACTCAACAATGCAATGATCGAGTTGATAAAGTAGTTCCATAGATGAAAATTAATAACTGTAGGAGAAAACACAATTTTAAAAGTTCATATAGTGACGGAGGTTCCGTTTCTCCTTAAGATATTCAAAAGTTTTAATTATATTCAACTCTAGAAAATGAAAATTTCGCGAATTCATTTTTTATTTAATTCAGTCAATTGATTAACAAATAATTTCTTATTGGATTCAGACAGTAATTGTTGCCTTCATCAACAACATATGAGGAGGAAAAAATTTAATAACTTATGAGAATGCAATACATCGTCATTTAGAATTTTTTCCGGAAATCCGTAGGGACTAACTTTTGAGTGATATTGTCTTGGGATATACCTTAAGGAGAACCGGAACCCCTGTGTCTATATGAACTTTTGGAATTGTCTTTTCTCCTGCAATTATCATTTTTTTTATTTATGAAACTATTTCATTGACTCAACAATGCAATGATCGAGTTGATAAAGTGGTTTCATACATACAAATTAATAAATAATAATTGTCTTGGGATATACTTTAAGTGGTTGATTTCATGCGACTGCACGAAAGTTTTTCAAATTCTGCATTTCACCTGTTTGTATAATGGAGTGAGGGCGAAAATTAGAAAAATTATCGGAAGAGTCAAATGGCCCTGAGGGTCGTTCTGCTCGCATTTCCTACATCATTTAAAATAATCAATTATTAATATGTTAAAATAGCATTTCCTACATCAGTTAAAATTGAAATATGCCCGAGACTCGCGGTATTTTTTGCAGAACATTACCTCCGCCCACTCCTCGATATTTCCTCAAGTGACAAATTCTCATTTCCCCGCCTGAAAGAAAACAATCTAAATACAAAGAGGAAATAATCCAGGCAGTGCCTTCTATTCTACTCCGTCCCGCGACGCCATTATATCAGAGTGACTTGACGTCACGTTTCGCGGGCGAGCCGATGAACGTATTAGTCACCTCGCGACCTCCTCTCGCGGTTCGGTCTGAGGAGTCAAGCAGGCGCTGGCAGAATTTTCGACAGTGAAAATTTCAATCAGCGGATTTTGCAGGGTCTAAGGGTCAAATGATTATGTGAGTCAACTTTTTTCAAGCCCGTATGAGGGGGCAACCCCCACCCCGCTGCGTCAGGAATCCCTTCTCAATCGCGTGATACAATCGCGAGATTTTTAACAGTCTCGACTTGAGATTTTTGAAAATCTCATCTTGCGAGTCTTGAAAGTCTCGATTCAAGACTTTTTAAAAGTTTTAAATAAGTTTAAGACATTTAAAATTCTGAAACAATAATTTTGAGACATTTAAAGTTTTACAAATCTTAAATAAGTTTGAGTCATTTGAAGTTTTAAAAGTCTTAAATAAGTTTAAGACATTTAAAATTCTGAAACAATAATTTTGAGACATTTAAAGTTTTACAAATCGTAAATAAGTTTGAGTCATTTGAAGTTTTAAAAATCATAAAAAAGTTTGAGTTATTTGAAGTTTTAAAAGTCTCAAATAAGTTTGAGCCATTTAAAGTTTTACAAGTCTTAAATAAATTTGAGTCATTTGAAGTTCTAAAAGTTTTAAATAAGTTTGAGTCATTTGAAGTTTCAAAAGTCTTAAATAAGTTTGAGTCATTCAAAGTTTTAAAAGTCTTAAATAAGTTTGAGTCATTTGAAGTTTTAAAAGTCTTAAATAAGTTTGAGTTATTTAAAGTTTCAAAAGTCTTAAATCAGTTTGAGTCATTCAAAATTTTAAAAGTCTTAAATAAGTTTGAGACATTTAAAGTTTTGAAAGTCTTAAATAAGTTTGAGACATATAAAGTTTCACACGTCTTAAATAAGTTTGAGATATTTAAAGTTTTACAAGTCTTAAATAAGTTTGAGACATTTAAAAATTTAAAAGTCTCAAATAAGTTTGAACCATTTAAAGTTTTAAGTCTTAAATAAGTTTGAGACATTTAAAAATATCAAGTAGAGACTTTAAAAGTAAAGCAGAAATCATAAGTCTCAAAATAAAGCTCGTTTTCTTATGTAGATTCGCCCAAAGCGAATCTTCCGCAGATGATTTTCCGATAGTATCAGCATTATGTCAGAAAGCGAATCAACTATTAGACTATTACTCGGACGTAACAAAGCCTGCTGTCGAGCCCTTCGTCTTTCATTCCATCACGATGTACATCGTTTTATTCCGGGGAAGTTGCTTACACGCATCAAATCAATTGCGAACACCGCTATAATTACCTTCTTCCTTCGATTTTCGAGAAGTCGTCGTTTAATCGCGCAACCGATTTGGCTTTTTTCATTGAATAATTCGACCAACGATTTTCGCAATTAAGAGAAACTCTCATTCACAATTATCACTAGATAAAAAAACTGGGAGTGATGAAATTTGAAGAGAGTCGGGCTGTTCTGGCCCTTCAATCTCAGCGTGTTGTCAACCTTGTGAAATTGTTGCTGAACGACAATTTTTTATTTCGCAACTCCATGTGTAAACTCACTTAACCCCTTGTTACCCCGATACTGCTGCATATGCACGACCTTGGTTCCTCATTTTATTCATCAATGGCACGAGGCGGAAGGGGCAGGAGGGGTGGTGGCCACCTGTTGAGCCGATTCAACAAGTGGTTTAAAGCACGTACACTTTGAATGTTTTGTCCACCCCATTTCAATCAATTTGAGATTCAAATTTATGGCCGATTTCATTCATGAATTCTATTGGTTTTATTTCACATGCATTTTTTCCTATTACTACACTGTGACATTAAGAATATTCAAGTACTTTGGCTATTTTTTCTCCCGTGAAATGCTTTTCTACTTTTGCAGTCGAACATCAGAGCTTTCTTTCGAGCTCCATTTGATTTTATTATTTAAACGTTGCAGGTTTAAATTTGAATCTCGATATTGAACCGTTAGGAAACATTTTTTAAATCTGAAAAAAAATGCATTTGTTTTTCTTTTGGAGGAAGATTGATGAAATGATTTTTAAATTGCAATTTTTGAAAATTACGAGTGTTTTCTATAATCTATAAATAATTTATAATATTTTTGGGAATCGTAACAAATTTATTCATATCCAGAATTTTATCAGAAATCGATTTAATGCCGAAAAAAATAAGGTTTTTGAAAGTTTAAAGAATTTCAATTATTTATTTATAAACAACGAATGTTTAAAAAAATAATAATTCGGTGCAAAATATAGTTTTAATAACGCTGAATATTCACGATTTAAAAAAAAAAATCTCACGCAATTTAATTGAGTGATTTGATGATTGGAAATGGTTGCATTCATCTAATTCGATTTGGAGGGAAAAAAAATTATAAAATGTAATTTTTTTAATTTCAGTGAGGATTTAATAAAATTTTAGTTAATCGAAAAAATATTTATTTCAATTTTCATGGACTAATGGAACTGAAATGGAACGTTCCGTTGATTTTTTCACGATATTTTGAATTTTTAATGACGAAATTCCTTGATATTCCAGTGGAACTCTAGGAAAGGTGGACTCATAATTAAATTTATAACCCTGATTAAATTTATCGACTGAGATAAGAGTAATAAATTCACCCCAAAAAGTAATAATTTTCACAAATTTTATTAACCAATTTTTGAACTTCATTCGTTTTCCGCAAAACACTTTCATTATCAAGCCCAAAATCGTCGCCGTAAACCCCCCACTCCCAACAATCCCCAACATATGCAAAATTTACACAAAAAATAATCCTCCAATTATTTTTGAACCCCAAGAACCTCAGGAACGCGAGATTCTCAAAAAACCCTTTGCCGTCAACCTCCAACCCAAGTGTGATACCTATAATAAATCCCGCGGAACGCGCGTTTAAATTTTTCCACCGCGACCTACCGCAATGTCGCCCCACCGCGTTATTCCTACACACTTGACACACGCGGAAATTAACCATCCTCACGATCTCGAATAAGAAGTTGAGGGAGGGTTGGTAAAGGAGAACGCACACGTCTTGGTAAAGAGTATCGAGTAATGGGGTATAATTGTCGAGAGTAATGCGAGGACAGTGCCGCCATTATCGCATTTTTCCGCAGCTTCTTCTCGGGCTTCAATGTCCAAGATGATGCCCCCTTCAGCTGGGTTAACGCGTTACCTTTTTTTTTGTCATGACAAAGCCAACAGTCGGTTTCTCAAGAATTTCACTGGAACGTCGTGATGCTGGCTTGTGCTTAACTCCCCGGTTCATCCGTTTACTTGTCTCCATGATTAAGTGACAGGAGTCCAACTTGCTTCACATGTTGAGTATCAGTGCTCTGATACAAACTATGAGAGATTGTTTTCACGAGTGCTTGAGGAAAAATTAATGACGTAGAATAGCTGTGAAGAGGAGATCCTACAGATTTATCCAGGTGGATACATCTGGTCATTAGGAGGTAGTTAATGAAGTCGGATAAACGAGGTTGTTTCTTCCACTCCGGTGGATCAAACTTCCCGTTGGAGTCTCAGTAACACTGAAATACGTCTTTCTATTTATAGCTAAATTATATCAATGACGATTGCAAACGTCGAGATGAAGCATTCCTCTAGACCTGACGTCCGAGACGATTCGTCCACTTGAGTTGATTCTTCTTGACTAATTTGGTTGAAAAAATGACTGTTAAGGATCTTATCATCCTTGAGATCCTTGCGACCCTCGACACAGACGTCAACAGAGGACCCTTTTGACGTTCGAGACATTTCATCCACTTGACTTGACCCTTAACTGATTCGTTCATTCTCTGCTTTACAGTTAGACAGCCAAAAAGACTGATAAACGAGGTCGTTTCTTTCACTCCGGTGGATCGAACTTCCCGTTGGAGTCTCAGCAACACTGAAATACGTCTTTCTATTTATAGCTAAATTATATCAATGACGATTGCAAACGTCGAGATGAAGCATTCCTCTAGACCTGACGTCTGAGACGATTCGCCCATTTGAGTTGATTCTTCTTGACTCATTTGGTTGAAAAAATGACTATTAAGGATCTTATCATCCTTGAGACCCTTGTGACCCTCGACACAGACGTCAACAAAGGACCTTTTTGACGTTCGAGACATTTCGTCCACTTGACTTGACCCTTAACTTATTCGTTCATTCTCTCCTTTACAGTTATATAGCCAAAAAGACTGATAAATGAGGTCGTTTCTTTCACTCTGGTGGATCAAACTTCCCGTTAGACTCTCAGCAATACTGAAATACGTTTTTCTATTTATAGCTAAATTATATCAATGACGATTGCAAACGTCGAGATGAAGCATTCCTCTAGACCTGACGTCTGAGACGATTCGCCCACTTGAGTTGATTCTTCTTGACTCATTTGGTTGAAAAAATGACTATTAAGGATCTTATCATCCTTGAGACCCTTGTGACCCTTGACACAGACGTCAACACAGTATCCTTGACGTAATCCTCAACTAATTTCTTCATTTTCTCCTTTACAGGGTTAGGTTGCCTACTATTGACCCTGTTTGTGGTATCAGTACAGGGTGCACCAACAATGACACTCGAGAACAGACGACTGAATTCTCCCGAAAAGTGGATGAATCCTTGTGGCGAAGGCTTGCCAACAGAGGAGAGTGACGGTGAGCCAGAGTATGGTCCCCTAACTGACGCCGAATTGCTGAACATGGTGGCAGTTCAAGCGAAAACTGCTCTCAATCAAGCCGAAGGGTTCAGGGACAATTACGTGAGTATCATTACTTTTTAACTCTTACTAACATTCATTTCATCACCAATTAATTCCAAATCTGAGATCGTCTTCCCTCAAAATTGTCAGTTTGTATCAGCTGTCTGCCTTCACCAATTCGTCTTGAACTGGTGACGACCTTAAGCTGCTGCTGTCTCAAACTTCTCAATTTGGATAAACCGTCCACCTCCACCATCTCATCTCCACTGAACAGATCATCAAAATGATCCTTCACGTAATCCATTCCGAGGGGTAGATCACAACAGCCAAGCGTGAACATGTAACACGCACGCTATTCATTCTTTTACGACCCACCGCAAGCACAATCGCCCAGTTTCTAATTTATTCCCCACGCGTTTTGTTTTGATTACACCGGTATGTCCCCCCTGCAATCACTCATTTCGGTCAGAGCCATGGGAATTTCCAAGACGATTACTCATTCAAAACGGACTTTGCTGGAACTTGGAATACCACCAGGATATCCTTCTCTCCAGCAGTCTCCGATTACCCCGAGTTCTTCAGAAGGATCAACGCATCATTGCGGTATTCATCTCACTTCCATGAACCACAAGTGACCCATTAGATCATCGGGAGGGGGATCCGTTTCAGCTATTTGTGAATCTCGAATCAGCGTAAGAAGCTGTTGAGAATAGCCAGCTGTATTCTCGATAGCTTCTTGTTAGCTTCTTGGGAATACGTTATCTCAGGGCACAGCAGGTGTTCTGATACCGAACTACTTGTGGCGTCCCACTGTCTGGTGGAACTGTGACGTCAGCTCAGCAATTCTGCTCATCAGCATCCTCTGAAGTGGAAAATAGACCGAATCAGCGATTCCTTTGCGCGAAGGGGTTCATTTCAATAGGAACAACTGTTTCAATTTCAGATGTGGTGGCTTGATTTAAGCCACTCTAGTCTCGTTTTTGCATTATTCATTTTTGATGACTTGATGAAACGATCGGTAAATTATAAAGATTTCAATAAATCAGAATCGGAAGCTGTCCCCCACTCAGCTTGTCCTTTGGCCACACCGTTCACATGGCTACTCTGGCTGCATACTAAAGTGCAGACCGGATATACAGCACGTCGGCAACTCGTACATCGGGCCTGGAGATTCCATGCCGCCGTAGTAGCTTCTCCTCGGGATATCGCAAAGACGTGTTTCACTCCCCCCTGCGCTCCCTTTAGTCTGGCTATCTGGAAAACAACAGTGATGGGAATCGCAAATGTAGGGAGTCGGGATGAAAATATTCGTACGCTTTTTTCGGCTAATTGGTTACGGTTTGCATACGTAATCCAGATTTTTTCGGGGGATTATTAATAATAACCGGTTTACATGAGAATTCGCTCGCGGGACTTTGTCGTCAAGGTTAACTCTCGCTAGGAATTTTTTTTATGGGCAGAGACTGTTTTAGGTGAGAGGTATTCGGTGAAAACTAGGGGCTTCGAGACGTCTCAATTTAAGGAGATCAAAGTGTCTTTTACAGTTTGGTACAGATCGCGCTGTAGATTTAACAGTTTTCAATTATCAAATTTGTGAATACAGTTGCGTAAGACAAATTTGAAAAAAATCATGAATATTTAGCGTCATTAAAATTACATTTTGCACAGAATTATTATTTTTTAGACATTCGTTGTTTATGAATAAATTAATGAAATTTTTTAAACTTTCGGAAACGTTATTTTTTCAGGCATGAAATTCATTTTTAGTGAAATTATGAATATGAATAAATTTGTTACGATTCCGAATAAGTGATTTTTATCGTGGAAAATTGATTATCATTGCAAAAGTAGAAAAGCATTTCACTTCAGAAAAATGCCCAAAGTACTCGGATATTCTTAAGACATTAGATCCAATGATGAAAATTTCGAATGGTTTAAAAATAAATAAAGTATTTGGAACAACAAATGTGACATAAGTTTACAACGAAAAGACCTAAAGTAAAACACTCAGAATATTTGGAATTAATGTTTTAATTTGAGACAATAAAATTACTTTAATTTGGGGAAAGAAAAATTTTAGTTTAAAGTAGAGGGCAGAAGAGTCTTAATATGAGACACTATTTTTTCTAATGCACTTTAAAGACTAGTGTCTTTAAGAAGTTATAATTTAAGATATTAGACTCAATAATGTATCGTATCTGCTTAAAAATACGTTTTTTCCGTTTAAAAAAAAAACGTTTGATAGACGAGACATTCTCGTGATGTCTTCAAATACAAGTCACCAAATTTAGGAATTTTTTCTGTCTCAGTTCAAGATATTTGAAAACTGTTTAGTCATTATTGGAAAAAAATGAACGAAGTATTTGTCAAAACAAATCAGTAGCGCAGTGGTAAAACGCTTTAAGTCGACTTATCCCCAGTTGAGTTTTTGAGGAATAGTTCGGAATCTGAGGGAGTTAGCGGAATTTTCGTATCTACATTTGTTGTAGTTCTCAACCGGCTCTACAATAAAGGTTATAACAAAAATTTAGCTGTCCCCCTTAGATTCCGAGATATTCATTGAAAACTGGTCAATAGTCAAAATTGACTTGTACCACTTTACCACTTCGCTACTGAAATGTGACACAAATTTAAAATGAAAAAAATTTGGAATTCATGTTTTAATTTGAGACACTAAAATGACGTAAATTTGCGAAAAAGTCTCAACTTCAGACACAATTTTTTTTTTCAAAATCCACACGTAAACTGATCGGAGCCACCGTCGATGCTCCTTTAAAAAAAACACCTCCAGCATAAAAAATTCGAGTGCCTAATCGATCGACGTTCATTCATGCCAGTTAATACATTCGAATGCACCACAATTACATGGTGCATCGGATTACTACCAGTTATATGATAGGTGGAACGAAAGAACTATCACCGTGGTATTGGGCGTGTTGCACATCGTGAAGGCATTGTATTATCATAATAATTCCTTGAGTCGAGATAAGAGTGCACAGAGGACGTGAAATGATCCCCGTGAGCTAGCTGACGCAGTTGGAATCTCGGCTCGATGAATTGTTTGGGATAATATGCAGTGTAACATTGCATAATTCGTTTTTGGGGCGCGTGGCAATTGTGGGCATGTGAAGAGGAGAATATAATGGTTTAGGGAGATTTCGTTGAAGTTGGTGAGGACAGAGTGAAGTTTTCAAGACCTTTATTGTTGTCGTAATTCACTGTTGGCCTAGAATTTTGCATGATTGCTATAAAAATTGTGGTTATTGGGCTGAATGTTTAGTTTACCAAGCTAAAAATGAAGATCATTGCTCTAAAAATCTAACATTGTCCCAAAATTTGATTAAACATGATGAATTCGAACGAAAAATTGACTATTAATCTAGGATTTTAGGCTATTGCTCTAGAAATTGAAGCTGAAAATTAAGATTATGAAGTTAACAACGAAGTTTATGGTCATGAAAATCTGACTTTTTTTTTTTTATATTTCGGCCCTTTCTGCCCTCTGATTGGCTAATCGGCCCTATCCAACCCTATGCATGCGGCTGTGGATTCTACACTGCACCGCATTCGCACTTCTATAGAACATAGGAGTAGCATGGGAAACCACAGGAAACCCATGCCGGTACAGGCGGTCACTATATTAGCGACCTCCCGCTCGCCGGAGCCTCCGGTTGAAAAACTCGGTTCCACGGGGAATCGAACTCAACCTTTCGCACACTAGGCTCGCACCTAGCCGCTTCGGCCACCGAAAAATTGCTTAAAGTTACTTAATTGATGAGGAAAATGAAATATTGATCAACATTTTCAAGCTATTCTTTTAAAAATTGTGTTGATTGAATAAAAAATTTAGATTATCAACCTTAAAAATCAAATTATTGTCCTAAAAAATCTTGCACTTGATCAATTACTAATCAAAATTGATCGTTGACCTAGAATTTCCCACAATTGCGTTAAAAATAATGGCTATTGGGCTAAAAAATTCAATTATCAAGCTTTAAATCTACACTATTACCCTAGAAATCGAACTATTATTACAAAAATCCACAAACTTAACCAACTAGTAACAAAAATTAATTGCTGACTTATGATGTCATGAAATTGCTCCAAAACTTTAGAAAATTTCATTAAAACCGGCGAATACTTCAGAACCTTCAACCAAAAAATGACAAAACTATCCAATATCCTCTCGGTCATGTCGCTGCCCACTTTCTAGTACAGCTTTGAAACCCTCCTCACGCCAATACACAATTAAATAGGCGCCTGGCACACACGAGGGACTCGCCAACGGTGAGTTTAGTCACCGATTAGCCGCCGGGATCCAGAGCGATTTGCATTTCCACGTACTCTCATTTTCCTCAAGTTAATTTGGCTTCAGTCCGTCCTCCAACAGCTGACTAATCCCGAAGTGCCTTCACTAAATCAACGGCCGGATTACAAACCGGGGAAACAGTGCGTGAGAATCATCGACATCTCGCGCTGGAAAAACTAGTGTTTGAAATTAAGACATTTTTGCAGTTCGATGCAGAGTATTATGAAGGGTCTAGCGGAATAATTATGGTGAAAATACCCACAACGAATTTTGAATCGCCAATTTTTTCTGTTATTTATAATGATGAAATACGCCTGCATGCAAATTTTCAGATTTTTATTTGCATTCCTGCCAGTTTTATCGCAAAAACATCTCTTTCTAATGTCATGGGTTTCAGCCGTCAAAAAGGGTCCTAAAATCTGAAAAAATTCTGAAAAATCAGAAACATATCAACATTTACGGGACACTTTTTAATTTATTTTTTTACAATAATTTTTATTTAAAAAAATGATTCAGTTTTCAAAAATTTATTTTAACATGATTAAATGAAGATACAACTTTGAAAAGAATCATCACCTTTTATTTCATATTTTTCTATTGAATAACGTGAAGAAAACTTTCATTTTGAACAACAAAAAAATTGCATCAATTTTCCCCCAAAAGTAAACATTCTAATTTTTTTTACTGATTTTTAAAATGTTTTCTTACGGTCCAATATCGAGATTCAAATTCAGACCTGCAAACTTGAATAATAAAATCATTGCAAAATGTTCGGGAACTTGAAGTCAAATGGATTTCGCTGAAATAATAATGACAAAATATCTCTCGATAAACTTCTCTCGATTATCGAAAGCAGAGCGATTATTCACATTTTCAAATATTCATCGAAAAATTCATTTCCTCGTAATTTTTTTCATCAGCCCATTTTTTGAGCCCAAGCAAGACTTCTTTGAGAACTCATTCATTTTCTCTCATTGTTCGAATCTGTTTTTACCCGGAATCTACTCGGAAATTTGCCTCCCCAGACAAGATAATTAATCCCATTCCGGCTCTCGCGATGATCAGGCCTTTTTTCCCTTACGCAATAGCAACTGAAATGTCCGGTATCCCTTCGAGGTGGCCGTGGTCCTCCGAAACACTGCCGTGCTCTCCTCCCGGGATTTTTCTTTGTCTCAAAAAAAAAATATTGAGGATCGAGTTTTGTTGAGGGAAGACGATACTTTAGCCCACGACCTCTTGTTTCGACATGTGCTCCTACCTCTCATGGATGACCTCATCCAAGAGAATGGATCGATCGACCGTTTTTACTAATTTTTTTTCTCTCTCTCTCTCTCTTCGGTTTCCCCTCGACAGATCAAACAGACGTTTAACACCGACTTTGCCGTTCTGCACTCGGAGTGGAAGGACAACCACTATGATTGGTTGCCTGGGCCCGATAAGATACCAAAACAACTTGGCGAGCCACTGGCCCCGGAGTACCTGAGCAAATTGGGATTAGAAATGGTATGTATTACTGAACAATTAAGTCTTGCATTAAGTCATGATCCAGTGAGTTCATGCGTCGAAGGATTTCAACTCGAAAAGACCTTTCAAATTCTCACGAACTATCAAATATTTACGCCCTCTTTCCAAATCAGCAGCGAAACGATAAAACGGTTTAAGTCAATTTTGGCTATTCGTCAGTTTTCAGTGAACATCTCGGAATCTGAGGCAGCTATCAAAATTTTTGTCATAACCTTTTCCGTAGAGCGAATTGAAAGCTACAAAAAAGATTTTATCAAAAATTTCGCCATCTCTCTTAGATTCGCAGATATTTCTCGAAAACTCATTTAGGCTTGACGCACAACACGAGACGATTGTTCAATTTTTAATTCATCGCTTTGCTCCTCAGCTTGACAATATTCTGCTTGATGTCTACGAGTACATGCAGACATATGCAGTTGGCCTGGAACAAATAGTCTGGGACCACGAGGATCACCGACTCGAGTTCCTCCAGAAGTTCAAGGACACTGAGTCAAGCCTCCAAACGGTAAGTTTCAACCTAAATATCTTTGAAATATTGAAGTCTTCGCTTCACTGAACAATCGATAAATACAAATAAAATAAAGCAAAGGCCCAAAAAAAACTAATGACTTGAAAAAAAAAATAACAATAAAGAATTGGTGTCAGCTTTCACAATGGCAGAGCGCTGGCCTAGCAGGACGAAATGCCGACGGGAAGCAATTTCGCCGATTTAACGATAGCATAAAAAAAATCCATAAAATCACAAGAGAAGAATTTTCATTCATCATGTAATTTTGGTTAATCTCAAAGTTAATGAATCGAAATTGTTTTTTTTTAATGTGTAAACATCTTACCGGGCGCCTGAACCCGGAGTAATTTAGTGGATCATCGAGTCAATTTCGTAACATCGAGAGGGCAAATTGCGCAACTTAATCTTTGAGAAAGAGAAAAAAAAATTTCTTGATTCAAGTAGATCGGGACTTGATTCAAGTATTTTGTCTACTCGATCCAAGTATGTAAACTACGATTTAATCTATCCGAGTTTTCGACTCATATTGTTTAGAAAATAAAATTGTGTTATGAAAAACTGACGTCTATTCGCAATCGCGTTGATTCAAGTACAAGAAATGCTTACTTCAAGTACAAGAGGTACTTGATTCAAGTACGAGAGATACTTGATTTAAGTAGGGAAGCTACTTCAATCAAGTACAAAAAATTCTTCATTCGAGTACGAAAGCTACTTGATCCAAGCACCAAAGATACTTGATTCAAGTACAAGCGATATTAGATTACTTGATTCAAGACATACTTGATTACTTGATTCAAGTACGAGTGATACATGATTTAAGTACAAGAAATACTTGATTCAAGTATTTTCCGACTTGAATCAAATCGCCAACTCGACTTGACATTTTCTGGAAACACTGGATCCAATTCCATGAAATATGCTTAAAATGAGTAGAATCTCTCCTGATTAAATCAAGAAATTTTTTTTTGTGAAGTAATACGAATAAATTATACTATTCATTATTCCCACGTACTGTTTCTTATACGTATTTCATGTTATGTAATTGATGTGCAAACATCTCATCGGGCACCCGGATCCGCGGTAATTCATTGGATCATAGACCAAATATTTGTAACACTGAGAACGCGCACTCTGCAACTTAATTCTCGGGGCGTTCGTAAGATGTCGCTAATCGAGTTATTCCTGGTACAGACGGAAAATTATGAGGAATGAGTAAATGTAGGAAATAGGTCCATCGCGCAAGTCACGATGAGATGTTTACGCATAAATATAACACAATTGCAAGAAGGCTCGCTAGAATTTTTTATTTGTATTTCATTCGACAGTCGATGAGTGGGAAAAATGTAACACAGGCTAGTGGAGATGGTGCGATTTATGCTGATGTCGTTTGGCCATCGCTGTTGCAGGTGCTCTGTGAGCTGCAGGCTGCCCTGATTGAGCGTGGTGTTACACCAAGAAATAACATCAGTCGTAAAGCAATGTCCAATGATTATCGTGGTGCAATGTCATCACAAGCGACATTCAGAAATCTACGTGACTGGCTGATATTTCGTGACTACATGAATGCTTTGGAATACGTTGTAGAGGTGTTCGGACATTTGAGTCGTGCTGTTAAATCCTGAGGACGGCAAGGCGGAGGCCGGCGAAGGGGGACCAGACGACGACTCGGTTACTTAAGAAAATTGTCATTGAAACGTCTGGAGGCCCTACTATCTTAATGAGTAAATTAATTATGTTGATAGCTTTAGACTGATTGACAATGGCGAGCCATTGGTGTTTGGTGGCCTGGATCGTGAGACATTGGGTTGCATCATTGTATTCGGAATAATATGGCGGTCTCGTTCATTTCTGGAGCACAACAAAATGGCGGCTGTGGGAATTCGAGGTTAAGTGGGAAAATTTACGGTGGAAATATTAATTCTTTTGATAACGGAAAATTTGGGATTAAATTAGGTCTTAATTTAAGACTTGGCTGCTTTGAGACAACTTCATCTCCACTTTTAAGACATTCGTTTGATTAAATGAGTGTCTTAAATGCGTTGTCCCAAAGCTTAATGCATATTTTTATCATCACATCTTAAATTAAGACAGTTTAAGACACTATTTTTCAGTGCATGGGAAATGATCATTTTAGTCGGATTTTCGTGCTCCGAAAATTTTCGGTGGAAATATTATTTTTCTTGACACCGGAAAATTTGGGATTAAATTAGGTCTTAATTTAAGACTTGGCTGCTTTGAGACAACTTCATCTCCATTTTTAAGACATTCGTTTGATTAAATGAGTGTCTTAAATGCGTTGTCCCAAAGCTTAATGCATATTTTTATCATCACATCTTAAATTAAGACAGTTTAAGACACTATTTTTCAGTGCATGGGAAATGATCATTTTAGTCGGATTTTCGTGCTCCGAAAATTTTCGGTGGAAATATTATTTTTCTTGACACCGGAAAATTTGGGATTAAATTAGGTCTTAATTTAAGACTTGGCTGCTTTGAGACAACTTCATCTCTACTTTTAAGACATTCGTCTGATTAAATGAGTGTCTTAAATGCGTTGTCCCAAAGCTTAATGCATATTTTCATCACCACGTCTTAAATTAAGACAGTTTAAGACACTATTTTTCAGTGCATGGGAAATGATCATTTTAATCGGATTTTCGTGTTCCGAAAATTTGCGGTGGAAATATTATTTTTCTTGAAACCGGAAAATTTGGGATTAAATTAGGTCTTAATTTAAGACATGACTGCTTTGAGACAACTTCATCTCCACTTTTAAGACATTCGTCCGATCAAATGAATATTTTAAATGCATTGTTCCAGAGCGTGATGCATATTTTTATTGTCATGTCTTAAACTAAGACAGTTTAAGACACTATTTTTCAGTGCAGGAGAAATAATAATTTCAATCTGATTTTCATGCTCCAAATTGCGGGAGGAATATCAACCTTGTGATAACAGAAAATTGTGGCTTAAATCGTGGCTTAATTTAAGACATGACTGCTATAAGACAACATCATCTCCACTTTTAAGACATTTGTGCGATGAACTGTATGTCTTAAATGCATTGTCTTAAAGCTTGATACATTTTTTTATCGTCACGTCTTAAATTAAGACATTTTAAGACACTGTTTTCGAGCGCAAGGGAAATGATCATGTTAGTCGGATTTTCATGCTCCGAAAATTTGGGGTGCGAATATCAATTTTTTGATACCACAAAATTGAGGCTTAAATCGAGGGTTAATTTAAGACATGGCTGTCTTAAGACGACTTCATCTCCACTTCTAAGACATTTATCTGACGAAATGAATGTCTTGAATGTGTTGTCTTAAACCTTGATGCATATTTTTTCAATCCTCATGTCATAAATTAAGCCATTTCAAGAAAATAATAATTTCCACTCGTTTTTCATGCTTCGAAATTCTCCGCAGGAGTTCCAATATGGCCCTGGCTATGAAGAAATCGCGCGTATTTCATCTCCACCTTATATAGTCATGAAAATTCTTTGTCTCTAGGTTGTGCATCCGAAGGCCAATACCATACCGTGCGTCAAACGTACAATCAGTCTTCTTCGAAGTGCAAATGGAACTGTACATATTATATGTATAACTCACGATAGAATCCGTGTAATTTAGTAGGGAACGAAAAAAAAAATTGGTGAGTCGTTAGAATTTCCGCCCGCCGCCCCCACCCCCCGGTTTTCCGCCTATTCTCAATCTAATTATCCTTTTAGTTAATTTTAGGCCATTTTTGAAATGGTGGCATTACAACTCTACACAAAACTCACGTATTAACACCCCGTACACTTATCAATACTGAACATTTTTTCGTGTGAAGGGAAATTTTTAAACAATGATTGAGTACGAAAGGATTCGATGATCGAAAAATTTACATGATTTTTCATCATCTGAGATTTTCCGGAATTTTAAATTAAAAACAGTCGGGTTCGATAAATTTCAAATGATTCCGACAGATTCTAGCACTAGTTTTAGCCCCAATTAGTGCTGATCCTATTTATCGTCATTAACAAATTTTTATTATTCTCCGTGTGCAAGAATTTAACATTTTAATAACACGTGTCGGACTGATTTTTTTTATTTCATTTATTCTGAAAATCTCAAGTTTTACGTAGGTAACAAAATTTTATATTCATTTACATTTAAACAAAATAATTAACGCGGTTTTGTATATTATTTATTTGGAATGAGGGACAGAATAAAATGATTATGTTTGAAGGAACAAAGACAGAGAGTGAAAGAAGGGCATTGCCAACACGTATTTGACCGGGGTGTACGAGAGAACCCTGGCTCTGCAGTTGGGTTTATTCACGCGGTAAAAAAAAATGTAAAAAAATCACCAGCTAACCTGTACACACACTCTCATATAGATATATACAAAACACGTACACAGTGTTTCGCGCTTTCTTTACCTTAGAGACAGAATGTGAAATTAACGCGTGCGAAATATTGAGCCCTCGTAATTCTCAAGGAATCTCTCGTATACACAACTTAATTATAATTAATATTTATTAATTAAGTGTAGAAGTGTACTTGTATTTATTCAGATTATTTATTTTATTTTTGTAAAGGCTTTACACTCTGTATTCCCGACCCGATTTCTTCATTTAATTGAAGATTGAATTTGTGGGGGGAAAATAGGGGAATTCGCAGGAAGTGCTAGTGGCTTGAATTAAGACGGTCTTAATACGTTTAGGTACGGTAATTTAAGACGTTTTCGGTAAAGGGTCTTGAGGCTTAAATTTTAAGACATCCATGTCTTTTCGACCTAAAGTCTTATTTTCCGGCTTAAAAAAGGTATCTTGAGACATATTTGAGACCAAGATATTATTCCGTGTTTTACGTCTTAAATTGAGCTCTTTTAAGACATCGGGTTTTGAGGTTTTCAACTTTAAGACAGTCAATAGCGTTTGAAATCACCAAAAAATCATCCAATTTTGGGACATTTGGAAACATTTTCGTGATTTAAGACACTATTAAGACATTATTTCGTTTCATATCTTAATTTAAGACACTGGTTTTTGTCAGTGAACCCTCCCCTCATGAATTGGTATTTCCAAATTCAATTTTTGGGGAGAAAAGGGGGGATTAATTCACCGGAAGCGGTAATGCTTTTGGTTAAGACGGTCTTAATCCGTTTAGGCACGGAGATTTAAGACGTTTTTTGTATGCCCAAAAGAACAGTTGCCTCAAAAGTGATGAAGTGTCTTAAGTTGCGAGAGTATAAATCTCCAATTTGGAGGCTTAAATTTCATGTTTTAAATTAAGACCTTTTAAAACATTGGTTTGTGGAATTTTGAGTTTTAAGACACTCAAAAGCGTTTCAAATGATAAAAAAAACATCCAATTTTTGGGACATTTGGAAACATTCTCGTGATTTAAGGCACTATTAAGACATTTTTTTGCTTCATAACTTAATTTAAGATACTGGTTTTTTGAGTGAAACTCCCCCTCACGAATTCATACTTCCAAATTCCATTTTTGGGGAGAAAAAGGGGTTCAATTCACCAGAAGTGGTAATGCCTTGGGCTAAGACTGTTTTAATTCGTTTAAGCACGGACATTTAAGACGATTTTGGTATACCGAAAAGAGCAGTTGTTTCAAAAGTGATGAAATGTCTTAAATTGTGAGAGTATAGTCCAATTTGGAGGCTTAAACTTCAAGCCATTATTCCGCGTCTTATGTCTTAAATTAAGACCTATGCAAACACATGTCTTAAATTTGACCACTAAATAAAAAAACCGTCTCATTTCAAGATTTTTGAAATTTTTTTCGTAATTTAAGACACTATTAAGACAACGTTTCGTCCCATGTCTTAATTTAAGACACTAGTATTATCTGTAAAATATCCGTCCCCTCATGAATTCATCAAGTCGCGCTGCTGCTGTCATCCATCATAAACTATTTATAAAATTCACGCATTCATTTCATCCTAGAGAGACGACTTAATCTACTCTACTCCACCTTAGCAATATTACATTAAAAAATGTTGATCAATCAACGAATATTTCATCATATCCCGACGAGCTTATGTTCATCCGATAATTCTCAAAACACCGGATCACTCATCAATCAACTCATTAAGCACGAAAAATAAAGGTCTGAGATGTACATTCCCAATGCATCCCAGACTCGATCATCTCGTGTCTGTGATAAGCATCGCAAGCGTATTATATTCCATCGTAAACCAATATCACTATTATTTAATTTATTGTAACACCAGTATTCAATATCCGATCAATCGACTCTTAACTCGTATTGATGTTTTTTTTTAATTTTATAATTTATACAGTAATTTAGGCGCCACAAGAAGCAGCAGCGTTGACCTGTCTGATTACAATTAATTACCTAATTGTTTGAGATTACAATTCCCACATTAAAATCGTACGTTTCAAAATTACAAGACCAGCGATGTTGTTAGTACTATTACCATCTTTATAAATACAAAATATAGAACAAAATTATGCATTAAAAATTCCGTAATCGCCGGTGTAAATAAAAAATCAATTATTAGTCAATTAAAAACACAACAGAGTCAGTTTCATAATAACCCGCAACAAATAAATGTGACTAAACGTATAAAGAAATGAATTATGTGAAGGAGAAACTCGACAAAAAAAATTGTAATTTTAATTGTCAATCAATCGCTTAAATCGTATATATTGTATATAAAGAGATTCCGATATAAACTTACGGAAAGAAACTATGCAAAAATTGAAACTACAAATTATTATTATATATGTGGATATGTAATATGTATAAGGGCCCCTCCTCTCAGAATGCCCGCTCTGTTGTATCATATTAAACCAAAGACCGTTCAATATCGATAAACAGCCTTCAACAGTCTATTTATTGACCTCAAAATCCCATCTCCCACAATAATCCTAAATTGTCAACAAAAATAATGTACATCTGTTACCTGGATCCCAGGTATTTTCGGTGCAAACCCGAAAGACTTCATTTTCCCATGATCCGTGACGTTTATAAGATGTTGAACCCGAGAGTGTTTGAGAGGAAACGAGTTAGTACATGATCACGGTGCCCGACGGCCTCTGTCCCGTGCCGCCATGTTTACCAACGCTGTTAGCTCGTTGTCATCGCCCTGGCCGTGCAATACATTCCCCATTCGTTCTTGTTTGACATATCCCTGTGGTATTCCCCTCTGAGCCTCAACATGAGCCCTCGTCCCTCCTTTCGACCAGGTGGGGCCCCTTCCATCATTGAGGTGTCAATGTTTTAACTGGCCATTAACATTGGTTGGGACGGATTTTTCTGGGATGCCAAGTTGGCGCCATTTTCCAATTATCGGTATTGATGGGGTTGATGACGTACGGGGGAGTGCAAAAAATTCTGGAGGAGTGGAAAAATCATTCAATGATTTCTTGATTATTTTGGCAGTTGCAGGGGTTGCGGTGAACCTGTCAGTCGTTCATTGTGGAGTCGCCTTAAGGAGATTTCAAAATTAAGACGTCGGAAGCTTAATGTGATGTCCGCAATCATTGAGAGGAATTATTCAATTGTTTTTTGGTAATTTTGCAAGCTATGGATTGTCTGCGATTGTTTCATTGCGGATTTGCCTTAAGGAGATTACACAATTAACGCGTCGGGAGCGTAATGTAATGGGGGGATCTGTTAAGAACAATTATCCAATTGTTTTTCAATGATTTTCAAAATTACGATCGTTCCATCGCCCCTGCGATACTTTCATTGTGGATTCGCCTTAAGGAGTTGTCACAATCATCGCGTTGGAAGCCTAATGCGATGCGTGCAATTGCTAAAACCCTCATTCAACTGTTTTTCGATTATCGTAATAATTATAAGCATTACGTCGGGCTCGCGATCCTTTCATTGTGGATTCGCCTTACGGAGATATCGCAATTAACGCGTCGGAAACTTAATGCAAGGCTTGCAATTATTGAGGACAATTATCCAATTTTTGTACGATGATTTTGAAAATTACGAGCATTGCATCGGCTCCGCGATACTTTCATTATAAATTCGCCTTAAGAACTTGTCACAATCATCGCGTTAGAAGCCTAATGCGACGCGTGCAATTATTAAAACCCTCGTTCAACTATTTTTCGATTATCTTAATAATTATAAGCGTTACGTTGGGTGTGCGATCCTTTCATTGTGGATTCGCCTTTAAGAAATTTCGCAATGAATGCGTCAGAAGCTTAATGCGATGCGTGTAATTGTTGAGGACAATTATCCAATTTTTTACGATTATTTTGAAAATTACTGGCATTGCATCGGCTTTGCGATACTTTCATTGCGGATTCGCCTTAAGAACTTATCACAATCATCGCGTTAGAAGCCTAATGCGACGCGTGCAATTATTGAAACCCTCGTTCAACTATTTTTCGATTATCTTAATAATTATAAGCGTTACGTTGGGTGTGCGATCCTTTCATTGTGGATTCGCCTTTAAGAAATTTCGCAATGAACGCGTCGGAAGCTTAATGCGATGCGTGCAATTGTTGAGGACAATTATCCAACTTTTACGATTATTTTGAAAATTACTGGCATTGCATCGGCTTTGCGATACTTTCATTGCGGATTCGCCTTAAGGCGTTGTCGCAATCATCGCGTTGGGAGCGTAATGCGATGCGTACAATTGTCAAAACCCTCGTTCAACAGTTTTTCGATTATTTCGATAATTATAAGCGTTACGTTGATCTCACGATCATTTCATTGTGGACTCACCTTAAGGAGATAAATGCGTCGTAAGCTCAATGCAATGTTTGCCATTGTTGAAAACCATCATTCAATGCATGCAATTAACAGAAAACGGTGATTGCATTGGCCCGGCGATACTTTCGTTGCGGATTCACCTTTAATTGAAGCCCACCGCGATGTCGCCGCGACCAACAATCTCGCCAGCGGTAGCTCGCACCGACCGCCAACTCATCCTATTTTTCCCAACTTCTCAACAATGACTGTCACTCATTGACATCAACATCCAGGTATTTCCTCCCTCCTCCAAGGGAGTCTAATTCGCACTCCCGCGAATTAGTGAACACTAATATCGCCAAGAGAATGCCCACAATCTCCACTAATACAAAATATGCAGAATGGCCTTTTGTCTCACTGTGGAATGCGAATGATAGGGCAGTGAAGCCTCGGACTTTGGCGAAATAATAAAGCAGGGGTGGGAGGGCACTGAGCAAAAGCGAAATTCATGCGGGCGCACTGTCCTAATTACAACGAGGGCGATTTTTTTTTATCCAAAGCTGAAAGGAAGCCGAAGTATTCGGGCCTCGGGGGGCTACATTGGGAACTAGACGATATTCATTTTTGGTAGTCCCCAGTGCGCTGTCTTCTCAGGAGTTTCTCGGCCAAGAAGGGGATCACACAGGACATCGAAAGAGAGATCCACCGCGTCGTCGTCGAACCTTCGCGCGGGAACGTCGCACTTTTCCCAAGACCATTCATGGGAGCGCTTTGGGGTATTTTTTTTTTTCGGGGCTCTCCTTCTCACGACTCATTCATACCTTCGCCGCATGAGATCCGATCGTCGAACGTGCGCCTACCTGCCTTTCCGCCGCCAACACCGACGCCGCAGCGACGCATCCTTTTTTTTCACTTGTAGAATTGTACGACTCTGTCCTTCTTGCTATCTTGGAGATATTCTCGACTGGGGATTGGGATGGAAATCGTTTGTGTGTGTTATTTCAACCTGTCTTGAGGAACAAGCCTGGAACACGGATTCCCACCTTTTCAATGATGTCATGGGGTACGATCTATAATGCGACTGGGTCGACTAAACATTTGTGAAATTATCTCGAAACATTTTTACTGGTACGTTTTACACGTTTTATGGGCTGGCGATACTTGCCTACCAGAAAATCGGGGAGATAACGCGCGATTCCGGGACTTTTCGGCGTAAAGGCGAGTTTACAACAAACGAGCGTTTTCATCTGCGTTGCGTTGGTAATTAATACATCTCTATTTATTGCAACGCGACGCAAACGTGGGACGAACGATGATTGAAAACCATATTCATTAGGTATTGCATAAAGGAAAAAAGAATCTTCAATCGGGTTCTTTACACCCCGATTAAGCGCGTAACGTGACCGAAAACATAATTTTCATTGTTTTTATCGCTCAACATCTTTTTTCCCTAGATTTGCTTGTTGGAGATACTCTCCACTGGGGATTGAGAAGGAAATCGTTTGTGTATGTGATCTCAACCCACCTTTTCAATGATCTCAGGGACGCGATTTATAATGCGACTGACGTCGTAAAGGCGAGTTTACAATAAACGCGCGTTTTTCGTCGGGGTTGCGTTAATAATTAATATATCTCTATTACAGCGCGACACAAATGCGGGGCGGACGATGATTGTAAATCATCTTCATCAGGCATTAAATAAAGTCAAAGAGAATTGGAATGATCAAGCGAAAAAATTCCGCAGCCCCAGGCGGGAATCGAACCCAGAACCTCCGAATGTGTATGTGATCGCAGGCAAGTCGTTCTGTACGACCAATCACCCCTTCAATCACGTCCTTCACACCCCGATTAAACCCGTAACGAGACCGAAAACATAATTTCCACTGTTTTTATCGCTCAAAATCTTTTTTCCTTAGATTTGCTTGTTGGAGATACTCTCCACTGGGGATTGAGAAGGAAATCGTTTGTGTATGTGATCTCAACCCACCTTTTCAATTATCTCAGAGACGCGATCTATAATGCGACTGATGTCGTAAAAGCGAGTTTACAATAAACGCGCGTTTTTCGTCGGGGTTGCGTTAATAATTAATATATCTCTATTACAGCGCGACACAAATGCGGGGCGGATGATGATTGTAAACCATCTTCATCAGACATTGAACAAAGTCAAAGAGAATTGGAATGATCAAGCGAAAAAATTCCGCAGCTCCAGGGGGTAATGGATATTAACCCATTTAGAAATTAGAATCTACTCAAACTCTTCAACATCGCAGGTAAGTCGTTCTGTACGACCAATCACCCCTTCAATCACGTCCTTCACACCCCGATTAAACCCGTAACGAGACCGAAAACATAATTTCCAATGTTTTTATCGCTCAAAATCTTTTTTCCCTACATATGCTTTTATGATCCTGCCGAAGAGAGGATGGCACACAGTCGTTGTTAACTGCCGCTGATTGAGGGGCGTTGCCGCGCTAATAGGTTCCATCCACCTCCGCCCCTAACCCCTTCGCCTCCCCCCACCAATTCAACTCGGGCGCACACGTTTACTGAAACACAACCTAGATTTATTTCACGACTAATTTCGCCTTGTTAGCCAAACAGGATGTGCTCTCGGGGGCGAGGGGGCGAAGGGGGGATGGACCCTGTCGGTTCGTGTGTATTTTCAGTATCCTTTAACGGGTCTTAATGGCAGTGCGCTAACAATCTCGCCAAAAGTGCGGCCAATTCTCGCTCAATTCCCCCGCAATCCTCCCCGCAAACCCATGAAAATGATCTAAAAATTTTGAAATCCCGGGGGAAATCCAGTTTTTCTAGGTAGACCGTGGATTCCTCCGGTAAATCTTTAAACCTCTCGCTTCAGAGAAAAGCCGAGTCGTTCGTGGGAACCGCGTTGCCACTTCTCAGAAGCATTTGCCATGGAGACGCAGGTCCACCCAAACGGAAAGGGAAAACGAAGGCTAAAAAAATGGAATGAATAAATAAAAATGGAGGGAAAAAAATGGGGAAAAAATAAAATGAAAACGGAAAGGAGGCTGGAGATGGTGACCGACGATGTCTGCAGTATGGAAATTTCCTCCCCCCACCCCCCTCACCCGGTATCAAGTCCAAAAATGGCATTGGCCTCGCTCAGGGTCCTCCGACACACCGGCGGTGGT